ACTTTTCTTTTTTATCTCGTGTTATAAATCGATGTTGGTTAAAAGGTGCTTGAATATTATTTTCATTTAACCCATCAGGTAATTTTCCTTCAGGAGCACGTTCATCATTATCAACTTTATGCGGCTCTTCTTTCCAATGACTTGATAAATGTGCACTAATTGCAGAAAAAACACCCTGAGCGGCTATGGTTATACCAAAGCTTCCCAAGGCACCAGGAATACTAAATGCTACCGGAACCGGATTACTTTTTAAACCGAGATCAATTAAAAACCTTTCAATTACCGATAGAGATTGTTTCGAAGCTTCTACGGCTCCTGCACCTATTGCAGCACCTGTAACTGTTGCTGAGGATGCTGCTGGCGCCGTTGCTCGTACTGTCTCTGATATCTCATCTGAAATATCATCCTTAGAATCAAATTCTTTAATGCCTCTTATTGCAGGAAATACTCTTTCATTAACATATATACCACGATATTTTTGTCCATTTTTTCCACCGAGACCCGGTTTTCCTCCTTCTCCATTTACACCTCTTTTACTTTCTTTAATTATAATGAGATTCTTCAATAATTTTGATGAATTATTAAATTCTACAGTGCCAGGTTTTCCACCGATGCCGCCTATTCCTCCTCGTCCGCCATTTCCTCCTTTCTTCCCTGGATCAAAATATTCATATACTTCTTCATGTTTATCATTAACGGTCAACACAAGCTTAATAAGTTTTTCGGTACATCTTTTTGCTTTATCGAGAGCTTCTTCTTCTGAAAATAAATTTACTTTTACCTTTTCTCTTGATATAAGTGCCGAATCGTCTTTATTTTTTACATAATCCTCTCCACAATCGGTTCCATCTAATCCATCAGCACCGTTACCACCATCTTGACCTTGACCACCATCACCACCACTAACATTGATAGTTAAAGAAGAAATATTAAGAAAGGTAACCCCTTTACCATAAAAATTTCCTCCGTTAGAACCAGGAAGTCCAGGCAGGCCATCTTCACCATTAATTTTTTGTCCATCATAATTAATTTTTTGTCCATCAATGGGAGATATTTCGTCATTTGCTTGACTATCAAGTTTTTCATTGTTAATCTTTTCGTTATTAATTTGTTCATTGATTTGACCAATAATATTTTTTTCGTTGATATAAGATATTCCATCATTTATTCCATCATTTGCTTTACTTGATGCGTGTGGAGGACCAGGATTACCTTTTAAATTAATTATCCTTTTACCTATAACACGCCACTGAGGAGATGCTATCGTCAAATTAATTCCTGGTGCAATTATATCCTTATCAATAAACAAGCTATTTAAGCTAAATACATTTATTTCGGATAGTTTTAGATTATTCATAGCAATATTAAGATCTTCAGTACCAATGATTATGCCTTCGAGTGTTAATAAATGTCCTTGATAACGAACTTTAGGAGAAGATGTAAGTAACTCTAGCTCCTTAATTATCTTAGATATATGACCATACCAACTATTAGTATTTCCTTTAATGTCAACAGAATCCGGTTTAACAAGTTTAAAGAAATTTAATAAAGAAATTTTTTTCAAAAGTTCTTCTTTGAGATCATTTCTTTGCATCTGTTCAACGATTAAAAGAATTTGTTGAAGATTTTCTTCAAACTTTTCTGGATTATCAAATATATTGTTAAATTTGTTAGAAAAGTCAATTAAAGAATTTCTTAATTCTTTAACCGTTCCTAGATGTGTATCTATTAACTTTTCAAAGTGGTTTTGAATCGCTGGATAAAACTTTAGTTCAATAAAATTTTTAACGTCGTCATAAAATTTATTGATTAAATCATCGATATAAAGTTTTGATTTATCATCCAATAAAATGCTAGTCTCTAGATTCTCCAAATAAGAAATCGTTTTTATACTCTCCAAGATTGAAGACTTATCCGTATCAGAAACTTGACCTTTTTGTTGAGGAGCATTGAAAAAAACTATTTGACTTTCAGAAGAGGATAGAAAATTGAGTATCTTTCTCGTAGATTGACTAAAATTATTCTGATTATCATATTCTTCAAGGATTCTCTGAAAACAAGCTCTTACTTTTTTAGCATTGAGTTTATCGTTTTTTGTTATAACTAAACATAATCCTTTAACTAATTCATCAATATTTTTAAAAGTCACACCCAAGTTATTAATAAGATTTAAGAAATCTTTTTTTCTTGTACTTTTAATTGTAGATTCAGAAATAATGAGTAAAATTTTAAGTTTCTTTACACTTTTGATTAACTTATAAATTGAATAAGCGTTCACGATATTCTGCACAGGACCCCTTGTATCTTCAAAACCAGGGCAATCCCAGTATGTTTCTCGACAAATTGGTAAATAGGTCTGTGAAATAGGTCTATCGTTGATAATTATACCACTTGAATTATCAGCAGAAATAATATAGTCACCAAATTCATCTTCATCACTAAACAGAGGAATTCCGGTTAAATAGCCCAATAATGTGCTTTTTCCTTCTCCTGTGTTACCGATAATTATAATCGCGTTTTCTTGTTGAGAAATCCTATCATTTATTTCATTAAAATGAGCTTGGATTTCTTCAATTTCTTGGTCACTTCTTATAAACATTGAATGAAAATTTTCAGCAGCGATGAAGGCTTATCAAATTTATCAATAAGTGTACGCACGTACGTACGTACGTTGATACTTTATTTATTAATCTACTATGCAGCCCTTATAGGGTTGCATAAAAGACCGGTCCTGGGGGGAAAAAGTGTCGATCATTGATTCTACCCAAAATTCATGTTCTGATTGGACAAATCAACAATCCTTAATAAGCTATTATACAAGTAAGGCAACTGTGCGACGTGCGACATTATAATCTGTGCTCGGTTATGCATGATTATGCATGATCTACAAATCAGATTTGAGAATCAGGTGTAACG